AAATCCGACCCGCCAATCTGCAGGTCGCCCAAATCCGACCCTCTAAATCGCGGGTCACTTGGGTCCGACCCTCCAAATCGTGGGTCACTTGGGTCCGACCCTCCAATCTGCAGGTCACCAAAATCCGACCCGCCAATCTGCAGGTCACCCAAATCTGACCCGCCAATCTGCAGGTCGCCCAAATCCGACCCTCTAAATCGCGGGTCACTTGGGTCCGACCCTCCAATCTGCAGGTCACCAAAATCTGACCCGCCAATCTGCAGGTCGTCCAAATCCGACCCTCCAAATCGTGGGTCACTTGGGTCCGACCCTCCACTTTGCGGGTCACCCAAATCCGACCCTCCACTTTGCGGGTCACTTGAATCCGACCCTCCAACCCGTCGGTCACTTAAATCTGACCCGCGCCAGAGTCAAGGCAGAAGATGTTCTACACCTGTTTCGTCGATCCCTGTGAGTTCCGTACCTCCGGCGGGGCACCGTGACAGCGTGGATTTGTCCCGATTCAAGGTGAGGATAGTTGATCGCCTGGGTCCTTTGCACGAGGATCGAGGCCAAGTTCTGATCGAAGAACGCTTGGGTCCGGTGACTGAACCCCGAGCTACTCGTCGAGCTGGGGGTCGCACACGCCCTCTCAACAATAACAAGCCTTCTTATAAAAGGAAAACTCCAGTTTCCACCCGTCTGGGGGTGTGTATTCAAAACCAGGAGCCTGTTGAGATCTTGCGCTCCCAAAAGTGTAGTTCTAAACATGTGACTCTTGAGAACGCTGATAAAGCGGCAAATCCCCTGAAAGAAACGTATTCATCTGACGATGACAACGTTATACCAGGGGAGTCATGTCAACACACGATAGGTTGCTCCGGTCATCTGATCGATGAGTTGTACTATCGGGCTGGGGGTATGAACGAGTCTCGGAAAAGATATGCCCGAGAAACCAAATCTCACTACCCGTGCGCCGAACTAATCAGGACAATATTATCAGCATGTAGTTGCCCCAAGACCGCTCCGCAGAGGGTCTCGGTATTTGAGAGGATCTCCAACGGAAAGGATAAGTCTAATCCAAAGCGTCTCTGTAAAAAGAGATCGGTTGTTCAAGGTGACGAACTCCCGGAAGTCACAATAAATATGGCTGATAAGGGAAAGTCGATTCGACCTTCTAGCTCTGACCCGCTTATATCTCATCGTCTAACCCGGTTGCGATCAGGGACCACTAGACGCAGGGACTACCAAAGAATGCAGAGAGGGTTATCCTCGGACGATGAAGCATCGGATGCTAACTCTGCAGTCGCTTCTGACAATACGGTATCTAGCCCAGGGCAATCCCGCGAAGTGTTTATGATTAACACCGAAGAAGCAACTAAAATGGTTGAGGATGCTCTAGCGAAGCAGAAGCAAGCATTTAAATTCGAAATAGAAACGGCTATGCAACAGATGAAGGAAGAGCACGACCGACAGATTCAGGCTCTTTCCAATCAAATGGGCGAATCCAGCCGTCGCAACGCTGCTAACCAAGTAGGTAGCGATTCAGATGTGGATGAACGCCTTAATGCTGATAACCCTCTCGTTGACCAAAACGCTGGGGGTGGCCCCACTAAAGACGACAACGCTGGGGGTGGCCCCGTTATTCCTCTTAAGAATCGTCCAAAGCCCGATACGAGCGAGGATGAGAAAATAAAAGATCTCGAGAGTAAAATCAACGCTCTAATGTCTGATCGAGAGGTAAAGAGGACTGGCATTCCATGTCCCTATCCAAGAGAATGGGATTCGATCCCGTATCCGACGAAGTTCAACTTGATTAACTTCACGCCGTTTGACGGGAAGGGTTCACCCACTCAACATCTGATCTACTTCAAGTCCCACTTGGGTATGATCTCCGGCAATAAAGCCTTGATGGTTCGGTCATTCGTTGGCACCCTTCGCGGGCCGGCCTTCGATTGGTACCGCCATCTCAAGCCCGGAAGTATTAACAACTGGGACGATATGGAGAACTCATTCCTTGGTAACTTTTTTGATGACGACGACGAGGTATCCATCAGGACACTTTTCGATGAGAAACAAGAAGATGACGAGACAGTCGACGACTTCGTCAAGCGCTTTCGGAATAAAGCAATGAACTGCCGAGATCCGATCACGGAGGACTTCATCCTCCAGACATGTCATAACAACCTATCTATTGAGATATTAGAAGTTATGGGAGTCGCACCGTCCAACACTTGGAAAGAGTTGAAGATGCGCGGAGAGCGGGCCGAACGCTTCCTCCGAAGGAAGAAAGCCGAGAGGAGCCAACCAACGGCGAATCTTCCGAACTCAAACTTCGCCTCCCGTAGTAAAGGAAAGGCACATGCAGCGATTGTAGACATTAATCAGACATCGTAAAAACAACCCCGAAGGCAGCAAAAAACTTCGGATCCGAGACTCCAAAAAGAGTACTTCTTCAAGGACGAAGATGTTCTGGTTATTTTCGAGTCCCTCCTTGAAAATAACAAGATCAAGCTACCACCTATCCCAGATCAGGAGGAAGCTGATAATACTGCGGATCCGAGGTACTGTGCGTACCATAAGAGGATCCTTCATCCTACCAAGGCTTGCTTCGCTCTTAAGAATAGCATCCAAACCTTGGTTGAAGCCGGCGTTATATCGCTCAATTGAGCCGAATGAACACTCCGACAAAACTGCTTCTTAATACTCCAATAGGTATACGAGTCTAAACTATTCCCACTCTTGACGGGAAGTTCCTGGAGAATTTTTATATTCTTAAGGATAACCCGATCATGCAACTGAATACAATGGTAAATCCAGCTTCACAAAGGAAGCTGGGGGTGAATAATTTATATAACAGGAAGTTTCCAGAAGAATGTTAAATGTAATATTCTTAGGGATAACCTGATCATTATGAATAAAGTGATAAACACTAAACTCTTACTGTGATTTCCGAACACTCTTTTGCTGAGACGAGATTCGATCACTTCATTGGATCAATCTTCCCTCACAAAACTCCCATTGGT